TATATATATATACACATATATATGCATGTATATAAATAATCTGTTGACAAGGACACAGAGTGCTAACTTATATAAATTAGTTAATCTTCGCCTATGGTCCAGGCCTGCATGCATATGTTGTCTGCAACACTCCACTCCCTTCAGGACAAAATCTAATCTATTCTTTCGTTTCGCGAATGGGAACTGGGGCTTCCATGTTGCAAAGTTTGTCATTCAACAATCACTCAGATGTTAAAGTGGGATGGTCAAAAAGACAAGTCAGGCATGAGAGCATTGTTTTATTATGGTTATTCTGAGTTTATTTTGGGTGGACTTTGTTGTGTACAAATGGTTCGTGTACCGCTTTCACATCTGATTTATGCCATAACAGTGATATTTCCTCACTTTTTACTCCATTAATATTGTGAACTGTAGCTTGTTCACTTTTGTCTGTCCACGGTTATAATAGTATAACATCAAATTACTCTGTTTAGTCTTCTCAGTAATCTCAGTCTTAGATTTTTGCATGCAGGGCTAAAAATTGGATGACCAACAAAATATAGGCTTCTGCAAACTCAGGTTCCCACATGTTTTCTTTGATGTTAGACTAAAGTAGGTCAGTACATTACTGGAGATTACAGCATACATCTAAAGCATAAAACAGTTGACTTATTTTCATCGGTACGACACTTCAACAAACATCTGTGAAACACAGTCAAGCAGAGGGGTGGGTGAGTGCTTTTTTAGACTCGCACGGGGACGTCTAGACAGCCTTGGGAGGATAACTAGATGCTTACACTGAAACGCGGGAGCTGGGTGGTGTCGCTGTCTCTAAATGAGCTACGTGTATTTGCAGGCTAGGTTACCTTAAATTATTTATTGTACTGATCCCGTGAATGCACCCAAATGGAAATGTATAATGTCGGGACAAAATAAAGAAAAAAAAAATTTGGATCAAAACTTATTTGCTTGTTAGCTGGCCGACAGAACAGCCTGGCAAAGTTACATGTGCATTGACAAATTAATAATAAAATGTGCTAGACTTTTATCAACGTGGATAGATGAAAGTAAATAAATAATATCAATTGGTGTGTTGATTGTTCTCCAAATGATCAAAATCATGTTGTTGGGTGTGAAATATTGAACATTTTATGTTATTTGTTGCCAGATGGCGCCACGGAGGGAGTCAATCCTTATTCCATTCCTGTACAGAATGATCGGGTGGTGCCCAGGGGTCGTATGGGAAAACCAACAAGAGTCAATGTTTCGTGTACCTTGGAAAAAATCCAAATCACGTGGGTGGAAACCCGCAGATTCCCAAATATTCCTGGAGTGGGCAAGGCACACCGGCAAGTTCAAGAAGGGGGATACGTTTGACTACCCTGCGTGGAGGGTTCGGCTTCGTTGTACCCTCAATAAATCACCAGAGATCCGGGAAGTGAAGAAACTGCACAGAAAGGTCGATCCAAATCCTTATCAGGTATATCAGTTTGTACGATCATCACCACCTCGTTCCTTTTCCGCAGACGATGATTTTGTTTCCAATACGTGCAGCAGCGTGTCTATTGCAGCGACTCCTGCCAGCTCTGGCTCCCAACCATCTCCAGTTATACTATTTGAGGAGATCGATCGTTTCCTCGACAATACCTCCCCCCAACCCCCAAACAACATATCTCATCAACATTTGCCATGGGAAAATCCTCAGATAACCTCAGTGGTTCTGAATAGGGCTGAAAATAATGTAACAGCCAGCTTAACACATCCACCTCTAAGGAGTGAGCTGAATCAGCCCCCTCTTCAAACAATTCCGAACGAAAATTTCACTTGTGAAATGGTTGATCAACAGGCGAATGAAGTTGCCTTAGGGGAAGTCGGATTTCCCAGTTTCTCGTCTGTTGAAACCAACCAAAGTATGCCGTCAGATCTCAGGTCCGTCAAGTCTGATGATCTGGTGCGGCCAGCCTCTGGGGAAAATGTGCCCTCATTGCCCAGTCTGAATACGCCCGATACTAGTTTAGGATCTTACACCTCAACACAGCCGGGGGGAAACAGAGAGAACAACATAGTTGTCCAAACTATTCCGAGCCCAGCAGAGGAGAGTGTTTTCAGTTTTTGTCTGTGGTACGGCTTCAACCAAAGATTGCTTGTGAAGGAAGGGCGTATTTCCTCACAGGGCTGTCTTTTTACTGATCCTATCAAGCTCCAACAGAAAATGTGTGGCCCGACAGAAATGGAACAAATTGAGATGCCAATGGTAGACCAGTGCTACGGCTATAAGAAAATTACTGAGCGTGAAACGAAGTTGATAAGTGTACTCTTAGAGAACATGGGAAAAGGCCTCATCCTTACTGTCAAAGACGATGTTGTCCATGCTACACGTTTATGCAAAACTAATATCTTTTTGTCTGACAAAAAATCCAAGAGTTCTAAACTGGAGTGTGGGGAGCAAAAGTCAGTCCCGATATTGGATGTCAAACAGAACTGTGATTCCTTCGTATATCTTACTTTTGGACGAGAAATAACAAAACATCATGAAATTCCTTTGCGTGGAGTGCCCATTTGCTTGAAAATTGAGCATTTATTAAAATCCAAGCAAAAAATGATGGTTCAAGATACAAATACTGATTCATACTCGCCGGAACTACTCATTTCTGGAAATGACGACAAAGATCCTCTGTCAGACCAGTTTAAAAGCATGAATGTATGCGATCAGTAAATCTGTCTCTGGATGTCATGTCTTTTGTTAACATAATATTCTCAGTTGTGATTTAAATTTATTGATGTTCAATGAACTTATGTTCTGCTGTAGCAGGATAAACCTAGTGCTGGACTAGAGTTACAGTCAAACCTCGTTATACCGTCCCCCGTTATACCGCCAGCCCAGCTTACCATCAGGTTTTGCCAGTGTACGAAAAGGAACGTCTATACTTTGTATAAACTTTGTATTTGAACCCTTCTTACTGCCACCCTTCAGCTGAGTTGTATAGTCTTTATTAAACTAATAAATTTAAATTTGCCTCCATGTATCGCCAGCAAATTGGCCCCCAGAGGTACACACTACACACAGCACATTGCATCCACTTGGTAGTTGCTTGATAATCTCTCTTTCCCACACACGCCAGCTACCCCCCCAAAAAAACAACAACAACACAACAACAACAACAACACAAAAACAACAACAACAAAAAAAAGCCCCGACCCCCCCCCCGGAAAAAAACCAAGGTAGTGCTGCCGACTGGAGTGTCTGTAGGCCATTCCCAAATGGGAGATAATAACATGTTCTTATTCACTGTAGAATAGTAAATGGGCTGATTTATCAATGTCATGCTCATACTGTGCCGGAACGACAAAGGGGGAACTGCTGCTTTTCCTTTCCTCATCCTTACTGTCGTCATTTTCCTCTACTTCTTTTGAATGTTTGTCGCTCTCTTGTGAACTGCTGTTTCCGGGGTGTCTTGATAGTCGAAGCAGACTTTTGCGCTGTTGAAGCTAGAGGGAGCAGAGTAAGTCTGATTCCCTGCAAGGGCTTCTCTCTTGACATCCACCCTTTGGCGCTCATATGACCTTATGCAGTTGCAAGCGCCGTAAAACCTTACAAAAACCAAAGGTAGTACATACCAAGATGGTCCATTCAGCCAAAAAAGTGTCCACCGGAAGTCGGCTCTTTGCTTCAGATGGCGCTGCAGTCTGTTTTGAATCTCTCTTTCGTTTCTCCAGGAGAAGAATAGGAATAGCACATCCTTGCGAGCGCAGATCGACTGCTGTTCATCAGCAGTTCGGGTTCGTTCAGTGAGGAGTTTTAGGTTTTTTTTATTTTAATGACCTCTCGCCTTTCATTCTAAAGTCAAATTAAACGAAGAAAACAATCACCCCTTCCTCCGGAAAAGGTGTTTTGTCAGCGTAATCATTTTAAAAAAGTGTTCTTCCGAAATTTGAATTCTTATTTATTCAAAAACTTGTTAGTTTCACTTTGATTTTTTAAAACACAAGTAGGGTAACTGTTCGCAAAGGGTGCGCATTTGTGAAGAGGGCACCACCGAATTTTGAGAACACTTTTTAAATTGGCTCAAAAAGAGGAGTGGACCCTCTTGTTATGTAGACTCTTTGATAAAACTAAACACACGCCAGCCAGCAAAAATATATCTGGCGTCGCCAAACATCAGCCCAATGACTAAAAGGCTGGCACATTGCTCTCTAGTCTCTACCCAGTCTAGCACTATACATGTAGTGCTGTCGAAAATTCGTGGTGCGACTTATTTTCAAATATCTCTTCAACTATCGAACTTAGGTTCTCAGAATTTTTGCACTGGGACTTGTATCAATTTGTCTTAACAGATCAACATTTTTGTAAATACCTGCAAGCTGTATTCTAGAAAATTCCTTAATAAATACAAATAAAAATTCCAGTTGGGTGGTTTCTACAGATTTTTAAATATTTACAGCGTTGGCAATATTGCTTTTAATAGCAAGTTCGTCAGATTTGTCTAATCGGGACATTATGCTTATTGAACGCATGTTTTGAGAGCCATTAGTGCAAAAATGTGTTCACTATAACAATAATTTCTTGTAACAAGTTTTGCAAGTAAAAATTGTCATTGATGAGGTGTGACGTAGGCCATATGCGTAATCAAAATGTGTGTGAGAAGCGGGTACGCACACACACGTACACACACACACACACACACACACACACACACACACACACACACACACACACACACTCACACACACACTATCACGACGCGGTGGAATCAGGCACCCGTCAATTTTGGGGCATATAGAGGGGTTATTGATATCTTCTTTAAGCTTGTTCATTTGTCTTGCATCTGACTTTTAAAAAAAACCACGTAAAAAACAACTGTCTTGAATAGAAGTCAAGATATTTGCGATTGTTGGAGGTAGGGGTCGCCTGGTATGAGAGGTAAAATTAATGAGAAAAAGGCGGACAAAGTTTGGCGACTTCCAAGCTTAAGTGTCCTTGGAAATTGGAAATTTACATTTTTCGTGCCTTTAATGAACGTTATTCGGTAACATCCACACAGAAATGCGTTGTTAAAAGGACATAAAAGCCTTTTAGCTCCCCCCCCGAAAAAAAATCGTTAAAAAATTGGCCAACGCCCAGAAAAATACCGGTTTCTTTCATTTCATTGTTTTGACAAGCGCCTGATTTCACCAAGTTGCCTCACACACACATACGCATGCATGCACGCACGCAAACACACTCATAACATATAAAAAATAGTGTCACCTTAGATTTCGATGCTCGTGAGCAAGGAAAATGAGGGATCTTTTAGGCGAACGGGATCTTAACCGACGCACCAAGGAAAGAATCCATGGTGACCCTTGTTCAGGCCCACTACCCGTAAAATGGTCTCCCTTTACTCTAAAATGAACTGACTTGACCCCTTGGTTTATTTATGACGAATGGCGTGCAAAAAGTGGTCAGATTTGAATGAGGCATGCCATTTCCACTTATTAATATAATCCTATCCCTAGTCTCAAGATCTACGCTTACCCAGTTGCTCTTCCTCTTTACCTGTCCAGACTTTATAGCTTTCCAATTTTCATCTCTGGCCGAGTTCCCCCCCACCCCTTTTATCATTACGCACCTTTGTGTTTTGAGACCACACCAATTAAATTCGGGCTCCAAAATTCAGGATACAACTGCTGCAATGGTCAGGGAAGAGTTCACAGTTTGATGTCATCCCACCAGGAGCAAACTTGTAGGCCCCACCCACTCAGCGTGTGATGCAACTTTAGATGCAGAGCTCAGATGCGAGTGCGATGTATGGGGAAAACTAACGTGTCGGCAAGTTCACACCTCGCTGTGATCCCGTGTGTGGCATGTAATCACATTCACGAGAGTGGATGTCTGTGACGCTACATGCAGTTCAGTGATCACAAATATTCACGGTTGGTTAATCTGCTGTGCCCACCCGTGATCTGAAATGCGCGATCTTAGCCGACTGTAGACCTCCAGAGCGGGATCATGGGGATGACTTTTGTACATGTTTATGGATCTAGTTAAAAATTCTGTTTTCTATATTAGAACAGCGAGATCTTGAGTGAACTGGGATCATAAGCGGTGGGATCTAAGGCGGAGACTACTGTATATGTATTATATAAAATAACATGTACCTTAAATTACCTTGAAATATTTGTGTGTGCTGTGAGTAAGTGAGTATTTGTGTTGTATTTATGTGTGCGTGTGTTATGTGAGAGTGTTTGTGTGTAAGTGTGTGTGTGTGTGTGTGTGTGTGTGTGTGTGTGTGTGTGTGTGCGCGCGTGCTATGTGCGAGTATTGTTATTCAATCTGGATTGCATGTGCGATCTCTTGAGTCAGCTCATAATTGTTGATTGAATGTATAGGCTGTACATATGATAATAATAACAATGAAAAACAGAAATTGTCCAAATGAATTTCCTGCAAAGTTTAAATAAAGTATACCTCCAGAAGTAATTCATTTTGTTTTGCTCCCCATAATATTTTTATGTGGCATGAATGTAGATCTAGTACTGGCTAATTACCTCCTGTGATATCTAAAAGATCACATTTGTCACTTTGTCTTTTCGTACAGAAAGGAGTTCCAAAAGTCACGCATCATCCTGGATTAAGTTTTCAAGCTTGATTGATTAGAGACAAAGGAAACCATAGCCAGACTGCGCTCAGTGCTGAGCTTGCTATATGCACAGCATAATATGTCTTTGTTTATTCTATGCTGTACTTGGAGTTATTTTAGCATTGTACTTCCGGTAAAATAAGTCCGTATAGAATATTTATATTCCACACGTGAAATATCAGCTGATGATTTCTCACATGTGAAATATAAAAGATTGCATTAATTGTTCCGCGCAATATATTCGCCTTCTAACCTTCTGTAAGCTAGGTATAGACTTGAACCATTCCTAGACCGTGCAATGTTATGGCAGCCCCCCGTAAAAACTTCGTTGCAAACCGGGATTACCTCAGAGTGCGGCGATGTATAGTAGTGCAATACACAAGTTTATGCTAGCAAACGACTCAGTCCTAGCCTCTGGTTTGTTTTGGTTGCCAAGTTTAAAATCAAAGTCATCTCCTTTCTCACGACAACATGTCATCATATTATAAATGCAGTCTCTTAATTTTCCAACTTTTCAATCGTACGTTTTCTGCTTGCTTTGCCTATGCTTACGTTATTATTGGTTTTTTAAAGGCTTTTTTTCACGGAGGGAGACATACGGATATCACAAAAAAGGAAAACAATCCAGATTTTTTCCAATCCTCACTCTGACCCCGACGAGCATGAACATTTTGTTTTCATGCAACTGTCCCCGCGGTTTTATGCACAAAAAAAAAAAAAATCTTAAATTATGCAAAGTGAGCCCAAAAATGTGAAAGTATTCGATTCTGTTAATTTTTAACAAAGAATGATAAAGTAAAAATAATAAGAAATTATGCAAAATATGATCTAATTTTGCTAAATTATGCGGGGTGCATAAAACCGTGGGGATAGATGTAAGACTCTTGAACGGACCCTCTTGTTCAATTAATTGGCTGGTCTTTTGAATTTTGTTGGTCTGGATCTATTACGCCAGCCGACTGGGATTCGGGAGGGGAAAGAGGGTGGGGTGGTTGGGAAGTCCCCATGACGCCCACGTCTTTTCAAACTTCTTCTTAAAAGTTCTATAGGCCCTATACACTTTGATTCTGTCAATCAGAAATAAAAAAGTGCTGATGAAGAAATAAAGTTGTTTTGTTGTTATTCTTTTGATTTGTTTTAAAGCCTATCTATCTCTATCTATTTAACAATACATGTATTTGTAGATCTAGTTGCAGAAGGTACGCTGTATTATTGCTATCTAGTAATCTGGATGTGGCACGTCTCGGCGGCCATGTTAAAAAAAAATCAACAAGGGCCAAGCCTCGCCTATTACGTACGAGAGAGAGAGAAAGAAAACATGCCTAGCCCATTGCTTTAGCATAAACTCTTTCACACAGCTGGCCAACTCAAACATGGCGGACGTCGCTATCGAATGCGGCCATCGCGTAGCAAGGCGAGAGAGAGAAAAAGGCGTACTGTATCTAGTCTATTAGTATAAATCTATGGTTCTTCCACAGAGGACATCGGATTTGCCACTGGCACCCTGGAGTTGGTGGAGGAAAACTATAATTAATTATGGCGACGGCTCCCAGAAAAATTCTCATTGCCATGGACGGCAGCAAACACTCCCAATATGCGTTTGATTGTGAGTAGGGTGTGGGTTGAGTTTTCTGAAGGGTTGTTGTTATTTTGTGTGTGTGTGTGTATGTGTGTGTGTGTGTGTGTGTGTGTGTGTGTGTGTGTGTGTGTGTGTGTGT